TTTCTGCGAGCACAGCTTCGACCTGTAGAAGTCTGTTCTATTCTACTTCGGGCGCAATACCATACGCGCTAAAATCTAATTTTGATCGAAGGATCGTAATGCAAATTATTCTTGCTGTATATAAATTTCCAGTACATTGATATCGTCACACATGTTGGAAATATGCGGTCAAAGAAATAAATAAAATTTGTAGAAATTGCACTCGCAAAGAGTCGTAAGCAGTCATTAACGAACTTCTGTCTTTGCTTATTGCAAATTGCAAAACCCCATTGCGGATGAAAATAATGCAAGTGGACGTATTCGAGTTCGAATAGCTGTTAAATAGTCACTGAGAGAACGTAAACATAATTTGACAATTGTATTTTGAAAAACAGCTTTGACAAATGAAATAGATGTGCAGACTTTACTATATTGTTTGTGTCAAAATATTTTAATAGAATGGTTTTTCACAAGAAAAGAAAATATTATATATATTTGTGTCTCTACATTTTTTAAAAAAACTTGTTCTTTTAAATTATTGTTATTAAGGGGTGCATCAGTTGAGACGACTGATACGGTTCTAAATCTCAAAGGAAGGTGTCACAGTGGGATGCAGGGCTAGTACAGCATCACAGTAGTTTTTTGGCATAAGAGATTTCATAATACCATGTGTCTACTACCTAGGATATAGTAGTTTTACGGTAGATAGGAATACCACGACTGTAATATGGGTTACAGACGGATACAATTCTAGTTTAGTCACATTCCCACTTGTCATTGCAGTGGCAACATTCACTTTTATTGCACTAGCAATCATTTCCCTCCCTCCCTCTCTCCCTCCCTCCCTCCCTCTAGGGTTTTATTTTGTTCTATTCATGGACAGTGTGATCACTTTTATTATTTGATTGAGGTTGTTTTAATTCTTTTTTAGTTTGGTCTTTCTTATTTGTTGGAGCACTTTATTTTTATACTAAAAATTACCTTTTAGTTATTTACCATGTGTAGCGTACTGGTCATCGCGTTGCGTTAAAAGGTATCGACCAAAACCATAGATAGCGATCGCTGATACTTCACAAATTTATTTATCGTTTAGGCACGTAAAAACTGTAACAGAAACAACAATAAAATTATCGAGAGTCTAGCTAAGAGACTTGAACACAATGTCTTAAATAACTCGGCGATAACATGATACAAAGCAAATACGATAATCGACTAGTTCGGTAGGTAAATAAAGACTGATTTATCCGTGATTCATGCAACAATAAAGGCAAAAAATATATATTAAACGAAGAATCATACCTCTTTTCCCGATTAAAATGATTGGACCTTATAAACGTTGACATAACCGATCACGATATAGGCATAAAGCACAAAGCAGGATTACAAAAGATTACACAATCATCGGGCCTCGCCCCCTAAGCTGGTGCGCATGCACGTTAGTAACGCAATACGAAGTAACGCATTCGTAACATGGCTCCCCTAAATTGTAGCAACAATTTACTTAACAAACGAAACAAAACTTAATAAAAGTCATTCGATCATTGTTCATTGTCTCTTCTTGGGATTCTGGCTGATATCAGGTCAACATTATACTTGGTACTGCTATGGCTCCTCGGAGGGGATTCCCCGGTCTGCAACTTGATCTGTAGGGAACAATAGAACCAGTTTTTGGACAGGTCGTTCAAGGTACACAGCTGCCTTTGTGGGCCTGCCAAGGTCGTCAAGGGCGTCTGTGGCAACCACGATTCTTACTTTCCTGACCAGACCGTCGTTGTCGGGATAAGTCTCGCTGACACGAGCTAGCTTCCAGCGGTTTCTTGGCAAACTGTCGTCCTTTACGATCACGACATCATCCACTTGTAGATTTCGCTTCACTGAAATCCATTTCTGTCTTGACTGCAAGGACTGCAGAAATTCTCTTTTCCATTTGCACCAGAATTCGTTTACTAGGTATTGGACACGACGCCATCGCTTGCTTAGGTATAGATCAACGCGTTGGAAATCACCCGGAGGAGGTAAGACAACCTTCGACTTCATGGTGAGTAAGTGGTTGGGCGTCAGCGGCTCGGAAAACTGCGAGGAACTGATGCTGTCAACTGTTAAAGGCCGACAATTAACGATCGCTTCGGCTTCAACCATGAACGTTCTCAGTGATTCGTCATCTAGCTGGCTTCCGTGACGTTCTAATAAGGAGGCTAGGACACTTCGCACCGTCCGTATCTGACGTTCCCAAACTCCTCCCATGTGGCTTGCGTGTGGAACGTTCATCTTAAACTTCACCCAATCGCAGCTACTTTTCAGCAACTCTTCTCTTATCTGCTCGTGATTTAATTCGGAAAGGGCTTGTTGCAGTTCGTTCATCGCTCCAACAAAGTTGGTGCCTTGATCGGATCGAAGCTGGCGCACTGGTCCACGGCGACCGATGAAGCGACGATAAGCGTTTATAAAGGAATCTGTGCTAAGGGTGTTCGAGACTTCAAGGTGGATCGCTCGGGAGCATAGGCATGTAAACAGTACTCCATATCTTTTTAGCTGCTTCCGACCTTCCTTCACGAACCAGGGTCCAAAATAATCAACTGCTGAGGACGTAAACGGGGGAGAAGGCTCGAGACGATCCTCTGGCAGATCGGCCATTTTCTGTTCTTGAGGAGCTGCTCTCAGTTTTCGGCATTTGACGCATCTTGAAATGTGACTGGACACGGCTGAGCCACCACCGATTATCCAATAACCAGTCGATCTGATCTCGTTATGGGTGATTCCATGACCTTGGTGTTCGACTGAATGATGGTGATGACAGACAATCAACTCGGTTACATGCCCCTTTTTCGGAAGGATGATGGGATGTTTGGCATCGAAGGAAAGGCCAGTTGCAAGTCTAACTCGTCCACCAACTCTGAGTACGCCGTTATCGTCAAGGAATGGATCGAGCTTGTAAAGAGAGCTTGTCTTCTTCATTTCCCTCCTTCCTGGAGCGGTAGAGGTGATTCGGTCAGTTGCTCGTTCTCTGGTACTGGCTTCCTTGAGAATACGTAATTCGTCGCTAAATGCTTCTCTTTGTTCGTTCTTGATTATTTCGTTTTCAGCCCTCTGTAACTCTTGAACATTAACTGGAATATACTTGGTTTTCTGAGAACCAGTTGGATATCGTGCAGTGGTGTCGTTGACGACAGGAGATCGACTTCGAAACTTCTCTTGAATGCGAAGACAAACAGCTACGGCTTTCTTGGCTCGGTGCCAGCAGGAAAAGTATTCCAGGCGTTCTAAAAGGGACGGGGGATTTTGGACTTTAGTCGTCAGAACGGAAGCCCTTTTAACTTCGGGATCGTCGGGATGAATAGAAGGGCTAATGTCAGTGTGGTTCCAAACTCTTGAGGGTTTCCAGAGGAAGTCTGGTCCATTCCACCACAGACGGGTATCGATCAGTTCTTGTGCCCCGGAACCACGGGAAGCGATGTCGGCTGGGTTTTCCTTGGTCCCTACATAATGCCACTGTCCTGGTGACGTTCGATCACGTATCTCCTGGACACGATTGCTAACAAAAACGTGAAATCTTCTAGCATCGTTGTTTATGTATCCCAGCACAGTTTTGCTGTCTGTCCAGAAGGTTTCCTTAATTTGCTCAAACTCAAGTTCCTTCAGCAAGACACCACCCATTTTGGATGCAACCAGAGCAGCAGTGAGCTCAAGCCTGGGCACTGTAACAGGCTTCAATGGCGTTACGCGAGACTTTGCTATAACGAGGGAGCAGTGGATACTTTCCGCGTCGTCCATCAAGCGAAGATACGAACACTGTCTGTAGCCGTTCTGGCTAGCATCGGAAAAATGATGCAGCTCGACTGTCTTAACTTCTCCGAAGTCTTCCGGTTTATAACATCTCGGGACCTTCAACCTTTCCAGCAAGGGGAGTTCGGCTCTCCATTTCTCCCATCTCGCTCTAATGTTGTCTGGAATATCATCGTCCCAATCAACACCTTCGCGACACAATTCCTGAAGGATTCTCTTGCCTAATAAAATGAAGGGTGCTACCAGGCCCAGGGGATCATAAACAGAACTAACGGTGGACAGGATACCCCTTCTTGACAACGGTTTGTCCTTCAGTTCGATTCTGAATTGAAGTGTATCAGACTCTATACACCAATGCACTCCCAGCGCGCGTTCGATTGCGGTGTCGTTGATGAGACTGGGATGCTTCGTTTTGGTGGCTCGGTCTTCAGGAGGTATGGAGCTGATGACTATCTGACTATTCGAAGTAAATTTGTGTAGTCGGAATCCTCCTCTCCGGCATAAAGACTTGGTATTCTTGATGAGGTTTATTGCTTGCTCGTTCGTTGCCACCGACTTTAGGCCGTCGTCGACGTAAAAATCTTTCCTTACGAACTCTGCCGCTTCTTTGCCACAAACATCTTCAAAATGGTCAGCAGTGGTCTTTAGGGCAAAGTTGGCACATCCAGGGGAAGAAGTTGCGCCAAAAAGATGAACAGTCATGCGGAACTCGACTGAATCGCTCTCGACGTTTCCATCCTCCCACCACAGGAATCTGAGGTAGTCTCGATGCTTGAGGTCGACCTTGACTTGATGAAACATTCCCTGGATATCACACATGAAAGCCACTCGTTCTTTTCGGAAACGACACAGTACTCCAGTAAGGTTATTGGTGAGGTCTGGGCCCTGTAGAAGCTGTTGGTTGAGAGACTGGCCATGGCATAGGGCGCTGCAATCAAACACCACTCTTATTTTGCCTGGTTTTTTCTTATGGTACACTCCGTGGTGAGGAATGTACCAGACGCGTTTATCGTTTCTTGATACCTCTGTGCTGGGAACTCTCTCTGCAAAGCCGTTCTCTATGGTCTCTTGCATAAAGCCAACGTAATCCTCTCGGTATTGTGTGTCGCTCTGCAACTTCTGCTTCAACTTCATTAATCTGCTCATTGCTAGGTCCTTGTTGTTAGGCAGTTCGACGTTTTCGTTCCTTAAAGGGAGAGCCATTTCATAATGCCCATCTTCTCGTTGGTAAATGCCTTCCTTTGCTGTCTTAAGGAATCTTCTATCTTCGAATGAGAGTGACTTTTCTTCTGTTCCTTTGTCGTTAAAGTCCAACGTGAACATTCTCTCTACTTGAAGCGGGCTGATAATTTCTTTAACATGGGTCTTCACGGGGAAGTTACATGTTCTTCTTTCGGATGTAGATTTGACTTCGTGAGCAACTATTCGGTTGCAGAGTATGTCACCGGCAATATCAATGGTGCTGTCGTCTTGGCTCGTTCGTTCAACCACGCCAATAATTCCCCACCCAAGAGCAGTTTTCTTGGCGTACGGGTCGTCATCATTTCCGAGGATCACTTTGTGCGGTTTGATTGCTCGGGCGCAATTAGCTCCTATGAGGAGACCAACTTCGATGTCGTTATCAAGTGGCATCAGGTGACTTGCAATTTCCTTTAGGTGGGGCCATTTCCTGGCGGTCTCGGGAATCGGTATTTGGCTGCTCCTAGCAGGAATGACGTTTCTTGTATACGTTCTAGGGAGAGGAATATCTATCGTTTCATTGATGCCGCGGACTGAGAGGCCGGTTATCTTCTTGCTAGTTATGGTCTTCTGAGCAAGAACGGTTGAAAGTTCCAAGTGAATTTCTGGACCGTCAACGCCAAGCGTATTGAGAGTAGATTCCCTGATGAAACATGCATCTGACTGTTCGTCCGGGAGTGCGTACACTTTGATCTTGTTCTCAGGGTTATTTTGATGATGAAGCCAGACCGGAACGATCAACGAATGGGATGTACAGTGGTCGAAACCCTTCATATGACAGACTTCAATCCGATTGGAGACGGATGCGTCCTTGTTTGAGTTGCTGCTGTCTTGTTTCACGTTAGGGGCTTCTTCCTTTGTTGGTGTCTTCCATGTTTCATCATGTAAGGCAGAAGGGTGTGGTCCATTACACGTCTTGCAGGCTTTCTTCCTACGGCAATCTTTGTTTACGTGTCCCCACTTTAGACACCCCCAGCATAGGCGCTTGGCCAGGACGAATTCTCTTCTCTCGTTCAGTGGCAGGCGCAGAAATTTGTCGCAATTCTCAAGGTCATGAGAGGCTTTACAGAAGAGGCAGAGCGTCTGTCGGTTCCTTTTCTCTTCTTTGCTTTTCTCGCTTCCTCCCCCAGCTTCGTTTACGCCTGTTGCTAGACTGCTGAGTCCAGGACCCTTGCTCCTTCGTAATCCGCTATGCGTTTTCCCTTTCAAATCTTCGTCTTTAATTGCTCGTAGAGAGGTGACAGGATTGCATGCAATTCTCGCTTCCGTCGCCAGGAACTGGCAAAACTCCGCAAAGGAAGGATATGTAGCTTCTCTTGCGTGACAAGGTACTTCTTCTAAGTTCAATTTGTCCGTTTGCTCTTCACCAATGCATTTATCCACGATTCGGCTCCATCTAGAGACTAAATAACTTGGAAGTTTCTTGAGCATCCTTTGACTTTCCTCTGGATCGTTGAGTACACCCAAGTATTTAATTGAATGCATTGCGGTGTTGCAGTGTTGTAGAAAATCTGAAAACCTTCTAAGACCTGGGCCATCGTTCGGCAATATCCTTGGCCAGTCGTTAATTTTCTTCCGATATGCATTTGACACCAGGAAGGGATTTCCAAATCTGCTTGCCAGGATTCTCTTAGCTTCAACGTAGGCCTCCTCAGAGTCCAGAGAGAGGAGTCCGCTGATTGACTCTTTAGCTTCGTCAGCTGTAAACTTGCCGAGGTAGTAAAGTCTTTCGGATGGGTCCTTCGTTTTTCTCTCAATGAAGGTCTCGAACGACTTAATCCATAGTGGGTATCGCAACAGGTCACCGTTGAATACTTCAGGTTCTGGCCGGCGGAGTGAGTCCTTGTCCTGTCGCTGAGTGAGCAGATCTGCTAATTTCGTGATGACTTCGCCGACACCTGTCAATTCCGGTGTACCAGCTCTACCGTTCGGGGAAGCCTGGGAAGGACTTAATGGATATGTAATCGTTTGGACAGGCATCGAATTTGTCGTAAAGGCGGGAGCGGCAGGGTTTAAAATAGAAGGCTGACAAGAACTGGCAGTGACTTCTGACCTCTTGACGAATGTAACGTTTGTTTCGGCGTGCGATCTTGAGATTGAAGTGGAGGGGGCGATTTGGAATCCAGAGGCTGCCCCGGAGGGTTGATACGAGCTGGCGACCACTTCCGACATCGTTGTGGCTATGACATTTGTTTTAGCGGTAGGTTCGGGAGACGATTCGTCAGTAATGGACTGCAATTGTGACTTTAGGTATTCCTCGATACGGCTATGGGCGTCATCTTCTGAGAGTCCAAGATCGTCCGTCTTATTTATGGTAACACCGAATTCCTCCTCTTCGATTTTAGTTACTGCTTCAAGTTCGGCGTTAGTGGCTGCTAGTTCCCTCATTATTTGCAGTTTCTTGATGTCTTCTTCTTGTCGTTTTAAAGCGGCCACCTTATCTCTTTCGATATCATGGAATCTGAGTTCTGCGCCAAGTCTGGCAGCTCTTGCCATCAT